CAGTTGAGGGAAACTACTAGGGGAGGGAGGGGCATACCTCATCAACAAGGGTACCTGCATAATCAATGTTCGTATACCTAACCCTGAATTGTACCCCACATCTTTATAATAAAATAATAATAAAAAATAAAATTAAAAAAAAAAAAAAGAAGGCAACTGGCAAACTACGTCCTCCCTGGTTCCTCCCAACTCTTCTTTTAGTGTGTGCTAGCTTTTAAGGGGCTGGGCACAGTGGCTCATGTTTGCAATCTCAGCACTTTGGGAGGCCAAAGCGAGAGGATCGCATGAGGTCAGGAATTCGAGACCAGCCTGGGCAACATAGGGACATTCCACCTCTACAAAAAAACTAAAATAAATTAGTGAAGTATGGGGGCATGCGCCTTGTAGCCCCAGCTACTCGGGAGGCTGAGGAGGGAGGCATGTTTGAGCCCAGGAATTTGAGGCTGCAGTAAGCTATGACTGTGTTACTGCACTCCAGCCTGGGTGACACAGCAAGACCCTGTCTCTAAAAATAAATAAATAAATAAGATACATTTTTTAAAAGAGAGAGAGAGAATTGGGTGTGGTGGCATGCACCTTGGGGGGCCACAGCAGGACTGCTTCAACCCAGGAGTTTGAGATAAGCCTGGGTCAAACCTGGGCAACACAGGGAGACCCCATCTCTATACAAAATAAGAAGAAATATTAGCCAGGGTGTTGGTGCATGCCTGTAATCCCAGCTATTTGGGAAGCCAAAATGGGAAGATAGCTTGAGCCCAGGAGTTCACAGCTACAGTGAACCAAGATCATGCCACTGCACTCCAGCCTGGTGACACAGCAAGACCTTGTCTCTAGAAAAGAAAAGAGGGAAATCTTGCCTATTAAAGGGCTGAATCTCAGTGCTTGGATGTGTAACTCTTAGTTCCAGAAACAATGCTGATGGGACAAAGGTCCTCCACCTCCTCACTGCCAAGACCCCTCCACTGCACACATCACTCCACGTCACTTGCCTTTGCTAACTTCACCTCACACCTGCTTCTCCTGCACGTGACACCCATTCCCAAAGCTCTGAGTCATTCCAGACAAGCTGGCGTGTAACGACATCACCTCACTTCATATAGCCGAGGCAGGGCAACATGGTGGCTAACAACTCTAGGACCTGGATCAAACCCAGTCTCCACTTCATAGTTGCGAGATGGTCAAGGCTCAGCGTCTCTCCCTGTAAAATGGCGCTGAGAACACACCCTTCATGAGGTCACGGAGTTGACGTGCATGCAGGGCCAGCACATCCCTGGCCATGGTAGCTCAAGAAAGGAGCTTGTCCCTGCTGGTGCTCCATCCAGAGGCAAGCCCTGGCTTCCACCTCATTTCGTGAGCTTCCTTCCTCACCATCAGAACCTTAGTTACATACAAGAACCACCTATCCCTCCACCCTCCTCCCAGGTCCTCCCCACACATGTGCATACATGAGAGTGCACACACAAACACACACGTGGGTACCCACACACAGCTCTTCCCCATCCTCCACTTCCACTTCCAGCAAGAGTTCCAGAATCCTTGCTGGTTGGTGGATAAAATTCAAAACACAGAAAAGACTAAGGTGAAGCCGTCACCTTGGATTGGCCCTGCCCTGAAGTTCTCTGGGGTGTCCTCATCAAGGTTTTATGGTTTTTATGGCCACTTTAATAGGTGAGGCAGGGCTCAGTGGCTCAGCCTGTAATCCCAGCACTTTAGGAGGCCGAGGCGAGTGGATTGCCTGAGCCTGCAGGTTCGAGATCAGCCCAGGCAGCTTAGCAAGACCTTGGCTCTAAAATAAATCAAAAATTAGCCAGGCATGGTAGCATACTCCTGTAGTTCTAGTTACTTGGAAGGCTGAGGCATAAGGACTGCCAGAGCCCAGCAGGTTAATGCTGGGGTTGCCATGACTATGGTACTGCACTCCAGCCTGGGCGACAGAGTGAGATTCCAACTTAAAAGAAAAAGTAGGTGAAAATGTGCAAGCAACAGAGTTCGCCAAGAACCCACCGTTTTAGACAGTTCTTTGTTTAATTCCTCAGGGAAAAAAAAATCTATCTCATAGAACTTTTGCACCATTCAAAACCCTCTAATAACATTAACATTTACTTCTCCCCACAGGAGGATCACAGTTGTCCCGAGACTGTCAGAAAATGGAGGGAAAAAAAATTATACACAATAGGCCCAACTTTCCAGTGGACTGAAATGCCACACACAAGTTCCCCCAAGGTCCAGGGGGTCACGTAGCCAGAGACAGGGAAAGGCTACCACTTCCTGGCGGCATCCGGAATTGGACAGAGCTGTTTTGACATTTACGAGCTCTTAACCTTTACACCGTGTCAATAAAAACCCCATTAACATTTAAAAGGGATGTTTCTGGTGTCCACTTGGAATAAGAGTTAGAAACACTTGGAATAAGAGTTAGAAACACTTGGAATAAGAGTTAGAAACACTTGGAATAAGAGTTAGAAACACTTGGAATAAGAGTTAGAAACAAGAATTAAATTATGTATCACATCTGCCCCCCATCTCCTGCACAGTTCATCTTCCTTCCACAGTGCCGACACCCCAAGAGCCACCATCTGAGAACACAGCAGCTCTTTGGGTGGCCTCAGGAGCCAGGAGTCCCCCAAGCTGACACTCTGCACTGGCAGCAGCATGTAACAAAAACCTCTGCCTCATTTTCCTCTCTCCAGTCTTGGTCCTTGGGGGCCTGCTCAAGCATCACTCCAGGAAGCTCCCTTAAGCTCCCAGGTGGGATTAGAACTACTCTGCACTCCCATGGCTCCCCCAAGCTTCCTCCATCTAAGGGTTTTGGCTCACTATACTGCCCTCGCCCATTTACTGGCTTGCCTTCTGCCCAGCAATGGGCCCATCTACTCATTCCCGCCTTGTTCCCCACTGAACACCCAGCATATGCCCAGCCCCGGGGATACAATGAAGGACAGAACAGATGGGCCCTGGCCTCCCCACCCTCTGCAGTGCCATCCGCTCCACTGACTCCATATGCCCATGCCCGTCACGTGTGGCACTCAGTAGATGGAGGGGATAGATGTGTCCCCTCCTCCACTGCAACTTAGTGACTTCTTGCAAGAATGACATTCACTCTGTTCAGATGCAGAGATTTCCTGTGCAATACACATGAACCGGCCGCCTTCAAGCCTCACCCAGACTATATACGCATTTTGCTTATAGCCAAAGTGTGTCGCTTTTTGTTGCTAATGTTTAAAACTGGCAAGATTTCACATAAAACTCTTTCTTTCTGATTTCTCTAGAAAAATGAACTAACATTCCTGCAGAACTACGGTGAGCCAGAGACGAGTAACCCCCCTCCTCAGATGCGGTGGGCGCTCTTCAATATGCCACAACCCCCACTCTCCCCTACTATCTAGCACTGAGGCCAAAAGACAGCTGCCAGGACCACCTTGTGCCCCAACCGGCTTCACGCAGGACTCCAGCCTGGTTTACATGCAGCTCAATGTGCAGCCATAGGCTATGCCCACGCCATCCAGGAAACACATTTGAGATGATCTACAACACAAATGAATGGGCAGTTTTATTGATTTTCACCTCCTAACATCGCTTCCTAGTAGTGGACACAGGTTGCTGTGATTTCCAGCAGGGACCTCGAATGCAAAGGAGTTAAGGAAGCAGTTAAACCCAGAAGGGACTTCAGCATGGAACCTAAAACCATGTTTGCCGGAACTCTTCTTGCAAACGAGTGCTGAAGATTACGAACCACATTCTCACACCACCGGCATAGCTTAAATACTTCTTCAACAAAAATATTAATAATAAATTATCTTTGACTCAGAAAATAAATTCTGTTCAGCAGAGTGACAGGAGGGTCCATTCATTGCATTGCACAAGGGGCCACATGAAGGGGGGGGGACACAGGAGCTGACGGCCACGTCCACACCAGTGTGGGGCCAAAGCACAGGCTGAAGTTAGGCGACACATGCTTTACACTTCATCCCAAGGGCAGGTGGCGGCCCGCCGGCATCCCATCCCAATGAGACTGCCACTTCCCCTCTTGTTCCTCACGTCCGCCTTGTCTTTTGTTTCTTGGCTTGTCTCTTTGCATCTTCTGGGCCACTATTGTCAGAGGCCGCCTGGCCAAGCGCTCGAACTCCCTGCAGTCGACTCATCAACTGCCACAGCAATGGAATGAGCTAGAAAGAGAGAGTGAGAGAGGGGGATGCCAGGAGACTTCTGCCCGGATGGATGGTGGCTCTTGCTTCTTCTTCAGGCATGGCCGGTACCCACCAAGTGTTGGTGGGGAGGATTTCAATTCTAATGAGAAAGGAAGGTCTCTGTACCAAAGGGTGCAGAAACGGGCTGGCCTCCCTCCAGGAGCAACACACTCCCAGACGCATTCTAGGTTTAAGGATTAGGAGAGATGTGGGACAAGAGGCTGACTGCCTTGAAAGGCGGCCTAGGACTTGACCTGAGACTTTCTCGGGCCCTTCTAACCCTAACATTCAGTGACTTCTGGAAACCTGGACATCCCTCCAGCTGTCAGAACTCGCTCTCTCTGAGATGCCTGCCTCCTCAGGAGGTCTCTGGATTTCCTACCTTGTCGTGGTTGTATCCGGCCAGCAGAACAAGCAATGTCAGCGGCAGAGCAATGTAGGATCCTTGTGCAATGTCTTGCTCAGGCAGCTTCCTCTGCAAACAAGAGACATTACTTCTCATCGAAGTCCTACCTTCATCTGTTACCAAGAGAGACACAGCCTGACCCACACAGCCTTTCCAACTGGCCCCCCAAGGACGCCTAGGGCCCCTTGTGAGCCAAATTCTTGCTAGCCCAAGGAAGAGGCTGAAGCAATTCAGAGAAGTGCTTACATGAGTCTTCTGCCATCCAAGCTCCTTTACTTGGTTTTGCGATTCTAGTAACAGGCATCCCTAACTCTCTGAATGTTCACTATCTGCGCTAAGGAAATGAAGAGATGCAGATAAAAGGGAACCTTGTGGTTGAAGAGCAAGGGGGTTTCTGTTGAGGCCCTGCTACATGTAGGACTCAGTCCCACAAGGCTGTATCACAAGCCCACTGTTCTGGTCCCAGGACACGCAGTTGGACAGCTGGTCCCAGAGAGCATGTCCTAGTGAGGAAGCGAAGCAGAGACTGCCACTTGTCCTGTGGCCATTTTCCCTTTCTTCCAATAGAACCCCCTGCTTTTATCTGGGTCAAGCAGAAGACAGACCACATTTCCCAGCCCGCCTGTAGCTAAGCGCAGCCAGCGAACTCCAGGAACAGAAGTGGCAGGTGCCACACCCTGGTTGTACTCTAAAAGAGAAATGATATGCCTTCCTTTTGCTGGCTGGACGGCATTTGGCCAAGTGCCCCCTTCTAGAAAAGAGCAATGTGCTGGAGCAGAGCAACAAGAGGAGGGGCTGGCCTGGGTCCTGATACCTCGAAGTAACCACATGGTCCCTGGACTGCTCACTCCTGGACACAGCTGACACAGAAACTTCTATCTTGCTAAAGCCCCTGAGATTCTGGGTTCAAAAACATCAAGTGATAGCCCAACTAGCTCACTCTACTCCTAAAAGGAAACAGATAAACTAAATAAGTATGTTCATATAATGATAAAAACAGGCTGATGAGCCACAGCAGTGTTCTTGACGGATGACACAGGGACTCCCATCTCTGGAGGGTCACAGACCAAAACTATTTTCATAACAATGCTAAGATGTATGTGCCCTTTTCACTCATTCTGCCACAAGTGTGCAGTGGACATTTCCAGAGGCTGCACGGTACAATGGCATCACACCACAGCTAATAGAAGCATGCCTTGTGGATTCTGGTGTTTCCAGGATGTTTTACTTTCTAATATGATAAATACAGATAGATATAATCGGTTGCGAATTATACAAATTGAGCTCTTTGAGACCCTCAAAGAGGGTCATGGAATCGGGAGACCTACACATATGAGAACTAAAAGGCTGGGAATGACAGTGGGGCCATACCTAGATGTCCTTTAGGAAATTGAGGACTAAGGGCACCAACAGACTTCCACCTCCAACTGCCCACTCCTGTCTTTTTTGGCATCTCTTAGATCTCAACCTGTTTTCCTTCAACATGAATACCTACTTAAAAGTTCAACTCAGTGGGAACTCATGGAGTAGTCATGAGTCGGACCTTGAGTCCCAGGTCTTACCGGATGGCCTCAGGCAGCCACATTAAGACTTGGTTGAACTGGGGAGAGGTGAACCTATTCAGTAAATGGTGCTGGGAAAACTGGCTGATCACATGCAGAAAACTGAAACAGGACCCCTACCTATCACCATACACAAAAATTAACTCTAAACTGTAAAAATCTTAGAAAATGCAGGAAACACCCTTATGGAAATTGGAACTGACAACCAATTCCTGATCAAAACTCCAAGTGCCCATACCATAAGAGATAAGATAGACAAATGGGACCTCAACAAACTGAAAAGCTTCTGCAAAGCAAAAGAATCCATCAAGAAAGCAGGGAAATAGCCCACAGAATGTGAAAAAATATTTGCCAACTGTATATCTGACAAAGACCTAACATCCAGGATCTACAAGAAACTCAAGTGCACTGAAAACACATGGTCCCATTAAAAAGTGGGCAAAAGTTATGATTAGACACTTCTCAAAAGATATACAGGCAGCCAACAGACACATGAAAAAGTGCTTAGCCTCACTAATTTTTAGAGAAATGCAAATCCCCCAGGAGGAAACACTTATCTTGCTCTCTCCTCTGTGGAGACCTGGTTGGAAAGTGCCAGAGAGATGAGCATGGATGACTGCTTGCCTCTGCAAGGGGACACACTGTGACCCAGTGCTTCTGTGAAGGCCATGAGCAGCCACGGGCTGAGACATTCCCAAGGACCCCAGTAGGAGACTCACCCGGGCCCAGGGACACACAGTGGTGGGAATGTAGGGATGCCACTTGGTGGTGCCCAGGGCCCAGCCTCATAGCTGCTGAAGGAGTGTGCCTGTCATGTCCAAGAATGTGGAAAATGACGCCCACCAGGGCTTGGATTTCTGAGCAGGGGCCAGGTGACTCATGAAATAGATACCACCTAACCCCAGTAAGAATGGCCATCATTAATAAAACAAACAACAACAGACACTGGTGAGGATGCAGAGAAAAAGGAACCCTTCTACACTGTTGGTGGGAATACAAACCAGTGCAACCTCTTTGGAAGACAGTGTGGCGGTTTCTGAAAGAACTAGAAGTTGATCTTCCATATGACCCAGCAATCCCCCTATTGGGAATATACCTGGAGGAACTCAAGTTATTCTATCAAAAAGATACCTGCACACATATGCTTGTTGCAGCTCTATTCACAATAGCAAAAACATGGAACCAACCATGTTGCCCATCAAAGTTGGACTGGATTTAAAAAATGTGGTACTCATACACAATGGAATATTATGCAGCCATAAAGAACAACAAACATATGGACTTCGCAGCAACTTATGTGGATCATCATCTATAGTGATCTATCACAGAAACAAAGAACAGAATACCACATGTTCTCACTCATAAGGGAAACTTGAACAATTATCATACTATAAGAAACGGATTGGCAGTAGTGGGAAACTGCCAGGGGAGGTGGAGTGGGATTGGCAGTTGAGGGAAACTGCTGGGAGGGGGGCACACCTCATCAACAAGGGTACCTGCATAATGACATTTATATACCTAAACCTGAATTGTACCCCATATCTTTAAAGAAAAAAAGACTTGGTTGATTTAACCATAAAATGGAGACCATGGGAACAGCAGCAACTGCAGGGTATACTGTGAGAACTCAGTGAAGTAAGATATGTAGAAGGCTCAGCAGGGCATTGAAAGTTGGGTAAAAGATCAATTCTCATGGTTACAGTGGCCACATTCAACACCAGAGGGAACCAATGTGCATCAAAGGCCCTTGTGACTGTACACACTGAACTGCATGTCATGGGGGAAGGCCATAACATGGAAATCACGTGGCTAGAGATAAACTGCCTCATCTGAGCCCTGGCACTGCTGACGAACCCCAGGTAAGTGATTAAATCTCTCTGAGCGTCTACAAAAGTGGGAAGAATGCTACTGGAAAGTTTGCTGTGACAATCAACTCACATGAGTGCCCTGCACAGACCCCAGCACAGCACAGGGGTGCCCTTCACAAGTCACCTGGCCCCTGCTCGGAAATCCAAGCCCTGGTGGGTGTCATTTTCCACATTCTTGGACATGACGGGCACATTCCTTTAGCAACTACAAGGGTGGGCCCTGGACACCACCAAGCAGCATCTATACGTTCCCACAACTGTGTGTCCCAGGTGAGTCTCCTGCTGGGGCCCTTGGGAATGTCTCAGCCCGTGGCTGCCCATGGCCTTCACAGAGGCACTGTGTGTCCCCTTGCAGAGGCAAGCAGTGTCGTCCACACTCATCTCTCTGGCACTTTCCAACCAGGTGTCCACAGAGAAGAGCAAGGTAAGTGCTTCCTCCTGGGGGATCGGAAACACTCCCTTCCTCAAGTGAGACCACCCTTGCCGGCTCACTGCACATGAGCCACACCTCAGGAAGCCGGCCTTCTCATCCTGTATGGAACTGGCTAGCACATGAAAAAGATAACTGGGAACCATTCTTCACGCTTTACACCAGGAAAAACCCCACACAAATAGAGAGATTTAAATGTAACAAAGAGACCATACAAGTCCCAGAAGAAAACATTCCTGTAAAAACTGGGAGTGGGGAAATCTTTTCTAACTATAACTCAAAGTCCAGAAGCAATAAATAGTAACACATTTAACATAAAAATAAAATAAACGTTTGTATACACCAAGTGAAAGGCTAAATGATAAACTGGGAAAAATTCATACAACAAAGAGCTAATATCCAGAGTTTCTGAAAACAGTTAAAAAGGATCAAAAATTCAATAGAAATGTCAGTTAAGAAGTAAACAGTTCACAGAAAAGAAAATACCAACAGCTCTTCACCACATAAAGAGAGAAATGCGAATTAAAACTACACTGAGATAATACCACTTCTCAGCTTTGAGACTACAAAACTTAAAATATGTGACAACACCCCCTGTTGGAGAAAAGAGGTCCTCATTCATTGCTGGTGGGAATGCAAAACAAGGCGTGAAGGGGCAAAATTGACCAAAACTCCACATGCATTTGCCCTCTGATCCAGAAACTCCACTTCTGATTCTATTCCAGAGAGGCCAACAAACATCCAAAAGCATCCATAAGGCAATTTATCAAAGGGTTATTTATAACAGCAGGAAACTAGTGACAATCCAAATGTCCATCGACCAGGGACTAACAGGATATACCATGGTGCTACAGGCTGAATGCTTGTGTCCCCCAGAATTCACAGGGTGAACCATAAACACCAACATGATAGCATTAAGGAGACATCACTTTTAGGAGGTGATTAAGCTATGAGGTGGAACCTTTGTGAATGGGATTTGTGCCCTTATAAAAGAGCCTGTGTGCCCATTTCTGGCAAGATAGCAAGATAGCACCATCTCTGAAGTAGAGCATGAGCCCTCACCAGACACCGAGCCTGCTGGTGCCTCGATCTTGGACTTCCCTGTCTCTAGAACTGTAAGAAATAAATGTTTGTTGTTTATAAGCTACTCAGTCCAAGAAATTTTATTACAGAAGTCCAAATGGACTTAGGCAGATGGTATACCCACACAAAGGAATACTGTGCAGTTATAAAAAACGAATTGGGAATATCTAAATATTTTGCTCTACATATTGCTTCCTTTTTTAAAGAAATAAAAATAAAATTCTTACTTTTTCCACCAAGAATGCCCAGAAACAATGACTAACACAGCAGTTATGAGGTCAGCTTTTTGTGGTTTAATGTGGATTCCTGCACCCACCAAGTTCAGATCCAGTGGTCCTGAGGTCTAGAATTCGCTATTGTTGCTGATGTGTCTGTTCAATCTCCAGGTGATGCTACTGCACCCAAGTTTGAGAATCACTGACCTATACAATGATCTCATGAATGTGAAAGACAGGTGTACATTGTGCTTGTTCTTTTGTTGTTTAGTCTCTTGGATACAGGATCCAGTAAGGGCCCCATATTGTGATAAATTAAGTTTCTTCCAACCCACTGGTATCTCATCCATCTGGTTTTTCTCTTATAATTTATTTGTCAAACAAATCAGGCTCCAGGTTGTTGTCCTGCAACCTGTGGAGTCATTTACATGCTCTGTGTCATTTACATGTTCCTGTCAATTGGCAGTGGGTGCTACAGGCTGGTGTAGGTGGGTACATGTGCCTTCTGCTGGAAGAAACAATGCCACCAGCCCCTGGCAACAATGTCCCTCTGCCCACGTTCACTCCTGAAAGATCTAATTTCTTCCTCAAAGGGAATGGCAGGCATCAGTGCTTAGAAAAGCTAAAAAGCACCTGGGGAAACCCAGAATCCAGAATGCAGAACCAAAACTGGGAAGGGACTCAGTGCTGGGAGCCCTGTGAGTACTTGCCCTCCAACCTGCAACCTGGGGCAAGGGGGGGTGGACTCGCCTTCTCTCACCACCCTGTGAACTTTGTTTAACTCCCCCTTTTACTTACCGTGGGGTTAAAAATCAAGGTGATATGTTTGTGGTAGCCCACTGCAGTGAAGGATACTTGAGGCAGGACGTAGTCATACTGGGACCTGGGGAGTGTGGAGTCCAGCAGCACAACATAGTTCTGTGCACACATGAAAAGGAGTGACTTTTGTAAAGCACAGCTTTGGCAAAGCAAATTAAAACTAAACCTAACTTATGGCCGTGATATAAAGAACTTCATGTTTCCCCAAGTCTGCACAGCCAAATCAAGGTTGCTACCTTCCAAGTAGTAACCTCAGCAGGCTAGTCCATCAGTGCCGGTTGTGTCCCCAGTGTCTTGGAGACTGTGTCTTCTGATAAGGCTGTCTTAGAAGCATATTCAACCTCCACAATTATGGTCCTCTGAGAATCCGACTTTATGAAACACATAAAAGTTATTAAGAACCAGTTCTGATGAGGGAGGTACATGATCCAGCTGAGGAAGACTCTTTTCAATCCAAAGTGAGACCGGTTCTAAGGGGCGATACTTAAGTGGCTCACAAATCTGGCAAGTTCTAAAAATACAGTATCCCAGGAGGCAGTAATAGTCGGCGTGCTGAGACCGACCCACTGCCAGTCTGTTCGGCAAGGTCAGGATCATTAGCCCCATTTTACAGACAAGGAAAGCAAAGCCTGAGGAGGTTAAGAATAATTCTCCCAGGGTCACTCAGCTAGAAAGGCAGCCAAGCACCTGTGAAGGCTCTGAATCCAGGTGAGGTCTGCCCCAAAGCCTAAAATGTTCCACACTGCTGTGAAAGTGACTGTGTCAAAGGTCAACACCCCTGAAGAAATAGGAGGGAAAAAAATCCCATGACAACCTGTTTGATGATTTGACAGCCATTTTACAGAGAGGAAGGCCACAGTACACCATCCCCATGGCAATTAGTAAGAAGCCAGGAGAGAGAACATCACACGTAGGGACGCATATGTAGGGATATCCTCTGGCTAATAACACCCAAAAGTACCAACATGTTTGCAAAGTTTGCTCCCATCATGCCAACTACAACAGTTAGCTCTACCTGAAGAGAATTGATAACAAACATTATCAACTCTGGGAGGAAGACGGGCATCCAGATTCATGAAACCCAAGGACACCAAACAGGTGGAAGCTCACATGGTCTGCACGAGACATTACAATTTAACTGTCAAAGACAGAATCTTGAAAGCAGCAAGAGCAAAAGCAGCTCAGCACATTCAAGGGAACCCCCATGATAAGACTCGGTGGATTTCTGGCAGAAACCTTGCAGGCCAGGAAAGAAGAGCTGACACATTCAAAGTGCTAAGGGTCAACGAGGCGCAGACACAGGGCCCCGGTTACACAGATTACGGCATTTCCTATATTATGGACCATAGTCCATACAAATCATGTCATAAAAGACTTAATGGCAGGGCACGGTGGCTCACGCCTATAATTCCAGCACTTTGGGAGGTGGAGGCTAACAAATTGCCTGAGCTGAGGGGTTCAAGACCAGTTTGGGCAACTTGGCAAGACCTCATCTCTACAATAAATCAAAAAATTAAGGCCAGGCGCAGTGGCTCATACCTATAATCCCAGCACTTTGGGAGGCCAAGGTGAGAGGATTGCCTGACCCCACGGGTTTGAGACCAGCCTGGGCAACTTGGCGAGACCTCATCTCTACAATAAATAAATAAATAAATAAATAGCTGAGTGTGGTGGCACATGCCTGTAGAAGTGGAAGGATCACCTGAGCCCAAGAGGTTGAGGTTGCAGTGGCCGTGAGCAGGCCATTGCACTCTAGCCTGAAAGACAGAGCAAGACTCCAACTCAAAAAAGAAAAAAAATTAGCTAGATGCTCTGGCACATGCCTGTTGTTCCAGCTACTTGAAAGGTTGAGGCAGAAGGATCACCTGAACCCAGCAGATGGAGGCTGTAGTGGCTGTGAGTGTGCCACTGCACTCCAGTCTGGGTGACAGAGTAAAACTCCGACACACAAAAAATAGATTTAATGATGGGGAGCAGATTCATGATATAGTCTTAATTGAAAAGGCTTACAAAACAGTGCACAAAATGGTCCCAGTTTTGAATTATTAAAATACGTATACACACACACACACACACACACACACACACACACACACACACACACACACACA